ACTGATCTCACCAACAACCCCGACAGAAATTGAAACCGGGTAGTTTTCGCTGTGGACACTTTCATTTCGTATGAGGGTGCATGGTAAATAGATTCGTTGGTTGATCTCACCTGAAGACGGCGGCCAAATCCCGTTCTGCAGCCGTTAGGCTTTAGCATCACCTTCAGGTTGAGGCAGTTCATGAGACATCCTTCCTCGTTTCGGGTGAAACCGAGCCGAGCTTTCGTCAATTGCGTGCTGGGGACTATCAAAGCTGGAAATAATTCTTGCAAAAGCCTCAAGCCAACAATAAGTCAAGAAGTATTAACTTGAGGCATTCACAAGAGTGACTTCTAGCTTTGATAGCGTCTAGTATATGATGGACGGGAGCTCAGTCCGGTTACACCCGAAACGAATGATGGCTCGTGAACCGTCAACCTGAAGGTTATACTTAAACCAAGCGACAGCAGAAGAATTGGAATTGGCTCTCGTCTTCCGGGGAGATCAGCCAACGAAGCTCTCGATCGTGCACTTTCGCACGAAATGAAGATGACCACAAAAAGGATATCTCAATAGACTCATCTAAAACCATCTACTCTTCGTATCTAAATAGTATAGTGCTTATGTCAAAAATGTCACGACATTATTTCGGATGCCGATCGGTCCTAACGAAGGTATGGAGTTAAGCTGTGGAGGATGCAGACTCGTATCTGCAATTACAATTGACTACAATACTCATATTCACATTGAGTAAGACTCAATACTACCATTTCGTTTAAGGTGATGAAGGACTGGTAGTAGAATTTTCCCACAATGATATGAGTAGAGCTGACGTTTCGATTAATTTCACAGAGCCTTGATTTCCCAAAAGTTGTTCTCATCCAAAGTGGACTGCAGTTCCGACCTCGCATTGGTCTTACCAACATCCCCAGAGGGAGTCGAACCGTGGCAGTGCAGCATGCGAGCTTGACACGATAACGACTCAGCTACATTACCACGAGCGCCCATGGTCCATAGGGAAGCAGTGAATTCAAAGGTAGGCCAGGCCTTTTCTATATCATATTCCTTGGTAGGATTGTCGATGGACTAAACATATTTTTGCTATAATAATCGACTACATAATATAGAAGTATTGTATTGTATAGACTGCGATCACACAAAAGGCCACACCATCTTGATCTTCATACCTTCGAATGGACTACATTACTTAGTTTTCTCATATAAGCAGAGTCTCGAGCCTACCAGTAAATCAGTTCTATACTCATCATCTTAAAAGTAATAAGGTGAATACATCTCATATAGCTGATTTACTGGTAGTCTCGAAACTCTGCTTATATGCGAAAAATAAGTAATGCAATCTACTGCTATAGCAAAAATACGTTTGCTTTATCGACAATCCCACCAAAGAATGTGATACGGGAAACGGCCTGGCCTACCTTGACATTCACAGCTGACCTGTGGCCCCAGGTCGCTCGTGGCAATGTGCCGAGTGGTTGACGTGTCAAGCTCACATTCTGTTCTGTCACGGTTCGACTCACGCTGGTGGCGTTGATAAGACCGGTGAGAGGTAAAACCTGCATTCTAATGTGAATAAGAAAAACTTTTGGGAAAGCAAGGCTATGTGAAATTCAATGGAAACGTAAGCTCAACTCATATCATTGTGGGAAACTCATCACCTTACACGAAATAGGGTGAATACATCTCATTACACTGATTTACTGGTAGTCTCGAAACTCTACTGACGAAATAGAGTGTATACATCTCATACTACTGATTTACTTGTAGTCTCGAAGCTCTACTCAAATACGAAAATAAGTAACGTAGTCGATTGCTAAAGCAAATATACGTTTGCTTCATCGGCACTACCACCAAAAGAATATGATATAGAAAAGAGGCCTGACTATCCTTGAAATTCACTTATGCCCTGTGACTCAAGGGTACTCATGGCAGTGTAGCCGAGTGGTTAGCATGTC